GAAATAGGAACTGAAATGACAAAGGAAAATATTGGAGATTTTATTATATCCTCCGAAAGTAATTTTAAAAGTGTGGCTGAGATGCTCAGGAAAATTATGAAGATCAAAGAATTAGAAGAAAAAAGGGGAGGTGGTAATTCGTAATGTTTTGTTTTTTGTTTTACTCGTGTGTGAGAAGTTTTTTCCCCCCGAGGTAATACCAGACCCTCTGGTAGTTCCGGGGATGCCCTCTTCCTTGAGGATGAAAGGTGAGGGGTTTTTAGTAGGTAGGCAGCCCCGCGGGACTGAATCCCACACAACCTAGCCGACAATGAACATCGTCGGCACAAAAATCCAGCACAACATCGGCTGGGTATCTTTGGAAGATTTTCCCCTCACCCCAAAAAAAAAAAAGGGTTAGTTTGGGTTGGTGCTCAAATGGGGTGTGCATGCGCAACTCAGAGCTCAGCTGAGTCTCACAGCCTCTGCCACTCAACTCCCACTCGCACCTCCAAGCAGGGGAGCACCGGTAAACCAGATGGGATATCTAGGGCTTCCAACCCTAGTAGTAGATCTCTTCTGGGCTGACGCGAGGGGAGGACGACTTCGGCTATGGACAAGGAAGCTGGCGGACAGCTATAAAACGCATTCTGGGCCAAGCCCACATGGATTTCGGAATAGAAAAATTGTCTACGGTGCAGGGGAGGGATACCCCAGTACCGGTCGGGATAAGTGGTGCCGTTGCAGGCCACCCCCGACCGTCATCAAGCGACTGCGACAAACCCTCTCCTTCGGTGGTCCCCAGGGCCGACGGAACCAGTGGAAAAACTACCGGGAAAAATACAAAAGAAGACAAAGCTGTAGCAAAAAAAGTAGCTGCAAAGATAGATGCAGATCTAATGGATCCACCTCAAAGACAAGCGAGTTCGCGGAGAAGTAACTCAGTCGGAGACGTCCGGTTTTTTCCCCAAATTTCAATCCAGGGTAGAAGAAATTTCGGCATCATCGACCTCATCTGGGACGATAAGGGAGAGACGTCACTGCAGATGATCAGCAGCCCGGATAGAGGGAGCATATCTGGAACCATAAGCAGGGAAAAGGAGGTAAACGATGGAAGTAAACCAGATAAGAAGAGAAAGCGACTGGATGACACCATCTGCGAAAGGGCAGTGGTGGAGCTGCAGGA